GGTTCATGTTAATTTACAAACTATTCAACTACAACCGTAGTTATATTTAAAAACATGTTAGAAGGCCTCACGAAATACTTTAATGCACATTAAAATGTAAATGTGAAGGAATGTGTGTATAACAAAATACATCGGTCATTAAACGAAACCGGAAACAGACGTAGACAAGATCCTCAGCTCGATGATTGGATGGTTATCCGCAATGCATGCCGGGATTTGGTGTTTATGTGATGTGAAATCTGAAAACGTTTTTAAAAAATACAATAATACTTTATTCCGAGTGTGCTTGCTTTTCTCTTTGAAAGTCATCACATAACGGCATTGTAATACATGGTTCGGCTGCATTAAATATTACATATCTGCCGTAATTCTCTATTTATAGAGCCCTGATGAGAAGACTTCTAGACAAACATGAGGCACTGAAAACGTGACGTGGATCATAAATATATAAGCAATTAAACAACATCTTACATTTATTTTCACACAATACGTCTCCTTGCAGTATCAACACTAATTCGGCTGACTTTTATATTTGATCCAATTGGTAGATAGGCTGTATTTACACCATAACCGTGCAGAGCTGATAGAAAGGGACACCTGGTGGTCAAAGCACGTTATTGAATTTTATTATTTTATTATTAGATATTAATAGGAGGATGTGCAAAACAGACAAACTAATAAGGCTTAATTTAAACATTAAAGAGTACTTTAGGTTAAGGTCTTATTTTGAATAAGAAAAAAGCTTTAAGAAGAATATGGAGGGATGAAACCCTCTTGAAACCGCAGGTCCTTCCTTCCTGCAGCGGTCAGACTTTACAACCAGCACTGCCCCTTGTAGACCCTCCTACACACACCACAACACAGACTATAACACCCCTTGCTGCTAAATACAAACCAACTTTGTGCAATATGTGCAATATATATATGCCATTAATAACTGTGTAATTTATACCTGGCCACTAAATCAATATATATATATGCCGTTTTGTTTTTGATCTGTATTTTTGAAAATTATGTAACTTTTTATCTTTTTTTTAGCATATTGTTTAATATATTATAACTTAGTACTTTTTTAGCATATTGTTTATTTTATTCTAACTTAGTACTTTTTTAACGCATGTAAGATATGCAACACTAAGCTGTCTGTGGCTCTTTCCTGCTGTAACGCTGCACATTTCCCCTCTGTGGAACTAATAAAGGTATTCTGATTCTGATTCTTTAATGGTCACACATGCAGAGCACACAGCACACACAGTGACATTTGTATCTACAGATAAATATTAAGCCTGACAAAGTACTTAACGTCTAATATATTGCTTTCCTGCAATGTTAACTATGTTTAAGCACTTATTTGTTTATTATTTGTTTATTATTAAACTGATATTATACATATGTATTATACTCTTATAAGATGTATGTAGATAGTATAAGAAATGTGCAGAATGACAGTTTAATGGTGGAGTATAAACACATATTGATAGATGTCTTGTAATGCACTGTTGAGGAACCTGCGACCCAAGTTTTTCATTCATTGCATAACTACACAGTAGTTGTTTGTATAATATGATATGTCAATAAACCTTAGCTTATAAAATCTTGAAATCTTGAAAGGGATGTTCAAACTAGTCATTATATACAGTCTTTAATGAACTATTAGTAGAGAATAACGATTAATGAATATACTTGATAGAGATCCTATTAATATCTAATAATAAAATAATAAAATTCAATAACGTGCTTTGACCACCAGGTGTCCCTTTCTATCAGCTCTGCACGGTTATGGTTTAAATACAGCCTATCTACCAATTGGATCAAATATAAAAGTCAGCCGAATTAGTGTTGATACTGCAAGGAGACGCATTGTGTGAAAATAAATGTAAGATGTTGTATAATTGCTTATATATTTATGATCAACGTCACGTTTTCAGTGCCTCATGTTTGTCTAGAAGTCTTCTCATCAGGGCTCTATAAATAGAGAATTACGGCAGATATGTAATATTTAATGCCGCCGAACCGTGTATTACAATGCCGTTATGTGATGACTTTCAAAGAGAAAAGCAAGCACACCGGAATAAAGTATTATTGTATTTTTAAAAAACGTTTTCAGATTTCACATCACATAAACACCAAATCCCAGCATGCATTGCGGATAACCATCCAATCATCGAGCTGAGGATCTTGCCTACGTCTGTTTCCGGTTTCGTTTAATGACCGATGTATTTTGTTATACACACATTCCTTCACATTTACATTTTAATGTGCATTAAAGTATTTCGTGAGGCCTTCTAACATGTTTTTAAATATAACTACGGTTGTAGTTGAATAGTTTGTAAATTAACATGAACCGAAGCTGTTGCTTGGCAACTCAATCGCACAACGTCACGTCCGTTAATTCCACATCCACACGCATGGATTAACATCGATTTAATACATTAATGTAGCCTTTGTTTATGCTAAAAGAGGTGTCGACCAGCTGGGGCAACAAGAAAATCGCTGTAATCGAGTGTGACTATTAAAAAATAAATCATTACGTCGGGGTAGCATTTGCTTGGTATTTCCGGTTATTTCTCCACTGGTTAACATGGGTTAACAATACCGTGTAGCTGTCACGCTTTTCACGTTTTGAAAAGACGAAACCGTGACATCTTCACGTCTCCCAGCAATGGTAAAGCGTCACATGTTCACGTCTCACCGTGATACCGGGTTGACCTCCTTATAACAGAGTATGTGTTTCAAAACACCAAAAGTAAAATGATTGTTGGTTCCTTTTGTAAACCCCTCATTCCTTAACTTCACACCTTGTTCACTTTTAACCATTAAAACATTCACCCATATGCTTAGGTATAACACAATCTTAAGGCAGAGCTGGATGCATTTGCAAAGAAGTCGACCTATGGATGGATTTTAAAGTGTAAAGGGAAGTACACTGATAGAATAGTTGCACCTTAAATAAAGTGTACCCATGTGTGCATAATAACCTAGCTGTTAGTATTGTATTTGCGGTTGTCGGGAGAGATGAAACATAAGTGGATGTCACGTGATTCACATCGATCCCCTATTGTCAGGACCTCGACACAAACTGATGGACCCAAATGCATGACCCAGAGACAAAGTCTTGAATATATAAAAAAATTATATTTATTTTCACAGTGCAGGTAATCCCTCTTAACAGAGTAGGTGGTGGAAATAACAAAAGGCACTCACAAGGAGGAAAAAACTAGCATAACAAATAGAGGACTTAATAAAAACTTAAGCCAACAAAATAAACAAAATAATAAAACCTGACATGAGTGAAAAGCGATCCTTTCTGAGCTGAGGCTTGGCACGACCATTCGGGGAAACCATGAATCCTGAACACATGGGTTAGCATGACCTCTGCCGTATCCTTGGCAGAGGGAAGTTTAAGCAGAGTGATAAAATGAACCATCTTGGTGAAACGGTCTACTACCGCCTGGACGGCAGTTTTACCCTTAGAAGGCGGTAGTCCGGTGACAAAGTCCAGCGAGATATGGGACCAAGGGCGTTGGGGCAGGGGCAGAGGCTGAAGAAAACCCATCTGAGCCAGGGATGAGGTCTTAATACGGGCGCACACGGGACAGGCATCCACGTATTCCGTCACCTCCTTCACCATGGCTGGCCACCAGAAACGCTGTTTTATGGTGAACATCGTTCGCCGGTTACCTGGATGACATGTGAGCTTAGACGTGTGACCCAGTGGATTACCTTGGAGCGTAACGACACAGGGACAAACAGATAATTATTTGGACTCCCACTAGGTGCTGGGCTCACAACATTAGCCTGCTCCACATAATTTTCTATCTGCCAGGAGACCGCCCCAACCACACAGTTCAGTGTAAGGATTGCCTCTGGTTTCTTGGCAGTAGGCTCTGGCTCATAGAGTCGTGACAGTGCGTCTGGTTTTCCATTTCTCTTATCCTGACCAGATGATAAGCATTTTTGAGGTTGAGTTTGGTGAAAATCTTAGCGGACTGAAGCAGTTCAAACGCTGATGACATTAATGGCAGGGGGTAGCGGTTCTCTGTGGTAATGGCGTTAAGTGGGCTATAGTCAATACATGGCCTGAGTGAGCCATCTTTTTTACTCAGAAAGAAGAATCCTGCTCCAGCCGGTGAAGAGGAGGGACGGATGATTCCCGCTTTCAGGGAAGACGAGATGTACTCATCCATGGCCGCTCGCTCTGGCCCGAAGATGGAATAAAGGCGTCCCTTAGGAATAGGTGCGCCGGGTAGCAGATCGATAGCACAATCAAAAGGGCGATGTGGAGGTAGTGACAGAGCCTTAGTTTTGTTAAAAACTTCCTTCAGATCGTGGTAACATGCAGGGATTTTAGACAACTCAGGATACTCATCATTACCATTAACTGGTGTAGTCTTTGAGTCTTTACCGGACATGATGACTGGGTGAAGTCTGATCGCCGGAGTCTGCGTTATAGCAGGGTCGAGGTGAGTTAGGAACACTACAATTTTTTCACATTCCCCTCCCCATCCCTTAACTTGGCCTGACCACCAATCAATGTGTGGATTGTTTTTTTTAACCAGGGGAAACCTAATACTAGTGAGTGCTGAGGGGAATTGAATAAATGAAATTGTAATATTTCTGAATGATTCTGAATTATTACCTAAACAGGCTTGGTCTGATCTGTGACTTGACACATTAGCCTGCCGTCTAATGCGCTGGCATTGATGGGGTGGACCAAAGGAATAGTCTTAAGATTAAGTAGTTTGGTCAGCTTCCTATCTATAAGACTCGTCGGCCCCAGAGTCAATCAGTGCCCCTAGTGTGTGTTCTTGGTTGTCAACTATGAGTGTAGGATTTGAGTTTCATGTGTTAAGTTTTGGGTTTATTTTGCTGTTCTGTGTTCCCTGTCTCATGTTTTCCTCCTTGTGTCTTGTCTGGTCCTACTTCCTGTCGTTAGTTTCCCCGGTGTGTCTGATTGTCTGATTGTGTTCACCTGTTGCCCTTGTGTTTCTTCACTCAAAGAAATAACTCATTGGATTAACTCAATTTTATTGTTGGCAGGTTTTCCATCCAATAAATATATGTGGCACAAACTCAAACTAATGGCATCCATGCAGTATAATGTAAATGAGTTAGTCCAACTCAAATTTTTCAAATAGAGTTTAAGTAAAATGATAACATTACCTTTATGAATTTAAATAATGCTAGTCCACCTAAATCCTATTTAATTAATTGAAAATGAAATAATGAGGTTAAATATAATTTAATAAAAATGTGTTACACATGATAGAAAACATGGTTTAGTTTTTTTTATTTTTAAATTCACATTATTCAAAACAATCCTCCATTCAATACAGTCTTTTTAAAATGAATGAATTCACACTGAAAGATGAAAAACATTTCTGAAAGATAATACCATTTTTAAAATGGCAGAGAAATGGAACTCCTATAATTAACTTACAAATCTCCCTTTGCCAAATACAATGAATACAATATAACAGGGGTATGCACTGCTCTTCTAACAGGACAATAACACATAACATAAAGAGTGCACTGCAAACACCAACATATGGAAATAGTGTTACAGTGTGTTGAAACAAATACAGAAAAGCACAGAACAAATGATTGATATAACGGCTCAATCTGCTCTGACTAGGAAACTCGTGAATAAAATGACAACAATGAACTCATGAGTCACTTCTTTTTCACATTTCAATCGAACAACTTGATCTTCAGACTTTCGATTTTACCATTCAGCTTGTGCCCATCCAGATTCATCACTACCTTCTGCATGAACTCGAAGGTGTGTTTGAGGTTGTCCGGAAAGCTCAAATCCAGGGCATAAATAAGTCCCAATAGCATGACAAACCCCACAATCATGCTGCCCAAGTTGTCCATGACTATATTGCCTTCGATGACAATTCCCACGTCCTCTGGCTGCCCATCCACATCTCTTTGAAGTGTGTATATGCCCATGACTGTGTTTGCCATGTCCCTCTTGGCATCTTCAGAGGCAGTGGCCTGAACAAAGACACAAGCATACAACACATGTGTTAACTAAAACCTGAATTACTACATTTTATAGAAGCAGATTTACTTATGTGGCTCTCCTAATTGATCAAAACAGTTTTAGACTAACCCTCTGGTATCACTCAAATGTACTACCCTATTTGGCCACTCAGGATAAAAATGTCCACTTTCAAAAACTTGAATGATAAAATGATATGATACAAATATTATATTTAAATATTTTTCCCCCACACTTTTTCTGAAGTGTGGGAACATTTTTTAAATGGACAATTAGGGTAATTTGTACAGTGTATTCGAGACCGATTAGAAAAATTGAAATTCCAAAAAGTATCTAGAAAAAACACAAAATCATTATAGCCAAATCTGATGTGAAAAATTACCAATTTGGACAAAAATGTCCGAGTGATACCAGAGAAGGTTAGGACCTCCAACACAGAACTCAATTAAGCTTGTAAGAAAATGTTTGCATAAATAAGTTATAAAGATATATTCCTGTATGTTCTGTTTGATTATCAACGTTATCTTATTTATTAATTCAGGTATTATTTGTTTACGTCCCTACTTAATAATGTAATTTGTTGTTATTCCTGTAGTTAATTATGCATTTACCTACTTATTTCGATATGTATTTGATTATTTATTCTTTAATAATTTATTTCCTTGTTATGTGATTATGTAATTATTCCTTTAACAATTTAGTAATTGCTGCATTCACATACCTTTTTAAACATGAATCTATTGATTAATATATTTCAGCATTTATTTATTATTTTATTTATGTATTTATTCAATTATTTATAAGTTCTTACATATGTATTCATGTCCATATTTATTTATTCATTTATAGATGTATTTATATATAAATGTAAATATTTATTTCAGCATTCATTTATTATTTGTATTTATTTCCAGATATATTCATGTTTTAATTCACATTTGTATTTATCAATTGTATTCCTATGTTAATTTATAGATGTATTTATATCTGTATAAATGTATTAATTCACTTTTTTCTATATTTATTTTAACACTTGCCCGATGAAATTACTTCTGTATCTATTTATTATTATTTTTTTATTTCTGTATTTATTCATTCTTACATATATTCATTCCTATATTAATGTATAGATTTATTTATTTCTGCATGTATTTATGATATGTGATAAGATATTTAGATGTAAGCAGGGATAGGGTTGTGTGCCATATAATTTTCTTATTATAAATGTAAGTAATGGTGGTTATAATTGTGGGTAACACTGTTAACCAATACATTGAAAACATATTGTGATAAACATACCTGATACTCCTTAAAAAAAGAGTCTGGATCCTCGTTGAGGTAGATCGCGATGCTTCGCAGGATGCACCCCCTCTTGATGTGGATGTTTTCAAACTAAAGCAGGGGCGATAAATCAAAGACAATTAAGCACAATGCATGTGCAACAGAGCAGGTAGTTTACAACGTAGAGGGCTGTATCTGTCGTGTGTGTCCCTAAGCAGGACTCCTTACACCTACATTTCCACAATAAGCTATTGCCTTAAAAACACTATAAAAGCAGACAATTTCTTAAATGTGTTCATATGATCATGGACAAAAACAATACAGTGAAAAACGAGGTTCTCTGCATTTATACTAACCGAATCTGATATTGCAAGGGCTTCCTTGATTTTGTGCCCCTTCACTCCTCCTTTGGTCTTGAAGATCTTCAAGAGCTTGTCTGAGAAGTGGTCCAGCTGCCACATGAACTTTGATTGAAGTGGTGATGTTGTGATCCTCAAAAACTCCGCATTCACCTTAAAAATATTATTAACAAGCACAATACAACCAATTGTTACTTGTTTATTAGAATCACAACCATGCAAGGATGTAGACATGAATCACAAAAGACAATAATAAAAGACTGTCAACAAATACAAATATTTACTTACTTCACTCTGCTGAAACAGAGCAGGCCATCTGCATTTGAAGTCCCCTATCAAAGGCCTTTGCTCCACAATCTCAAGGCGTCTGTGGGAGAAGGTTTTTTCCATTTTTGCTTTTATCACCACTTCATTGTCACGCTTTTTCAGTTCTGACAATAAGGCAATTCTCTCGTTCTCCAAGCTTTCTGTGGTTTCGCCTTTTGGGTGCAGAGGAATGTAGTTTACTTCAGCTTTTCTTGGTTTTTTTATGTTTGCTGCAGCTTTGCCTTGGCCTGTTTTCTTGTGCTTTAAGGAGTTCACAAGGATTTCAGGATGTCCAAGACGGCCAAGCTTTGTACGATAGTTTTGCATTTTGTACTTAAGAGACTGTTTCCACCCCCCAAATCCTGTCTTGGATCCTAGCTGCCCCAAACAAGGGTGGGCCCTCGTCAACGCTGCAGCTACCTCTTCACACTGATAGTCTTTCGGATATTTTGTGAATTTGATCATTTCTTGGGCTAGGCCATCAAGAATGACTCCTTTCAGCTTTAGGCCAGGCTGGAAGTATGTACCAGTTGTCTCAAACTCTGCATTCTTTAGATGAAGCTCAAATTCAGCCTCGTAGGTGAGCTTAGGAACCACAAAAAACTGTGGGCCAGGATAACAATTGTGAGGCCTGAGCTTCAGGGGATGGATGCGGGGTTGACGTATACACCATATCATCACTGCAGCATGAGGCTATTGATGATTCAGGGATTAGAGGCTCTGAGCTTCCAGTAATTGAGGTCTTATCAAATGAGTCAACTGTGTACAAAGTGATGGAGGGCTCAATATTTGACAATATAGGAGAGTAAATTACTTTCAGTGTGCTTTTATCCTGAATTTCAGACACTGATGTAAGATTCATGAACTCGTTAAAGTCAACATCCATGTATTGCAGACGGAAGTCCTCTTTCAATTGAAGAGATGTCTTGACAAATGTGTGCAGTTCTTCAACTGTTGCTGGGATTCCCGAATCCAGGGTCAGTTTTCTAGAGTCAGACTGGTCGGCAAAGATGATGCGCAGAAGCGCCCGACCTGCCATTATGGAACACCTTTTAATCTAGAGCAGAAACAAGGTGAAAGAAACACATTAGGATTATATCAAAGATGAACATAAAAATGGTTTTACAGTTTTTGTCAGAGCCTGCTATCCAGAGCTCAGACTATTTAGGTTTAAAAATGATACTCACCTTTAACAATGATGAATCTTTTCAACATTACCATGCGCAAACTCCCAACCATGTAGTCAACAAGGGGATAGGGGTCTACCAAGTCAGCAAGCTCAATAACGGCAACCTCTGTATTGGGCGAGGCAGACAGCTCAAAAGCACCATAATGCTCTCTGTACCAAGCACATGCGTCTTTTACCAGAAAACACAACTTCTCCTTAACAATGCAAAGTTTAATGATCTCATGGAATTTAGGCAGTCCATCTGCAGATCCGTGTACAATAATCATCCCCTCGCAGTAACGTATACCCAAGCTAGACACATTGTTTGCCATATGAACCTCAGTCACATCTGGGAAACTTTGTTTCAGTGTAGACACGACTCCCTCATTAAGGACATCAACAGGCAGGATTGAGACATGTGTGACCTCCAAGGATGACTTCTTGACACTGGAGGAATGTGTGTGATAGGCAAGCATGAACTGGTGTTTAGTAGCTAGTGAACGAGGTATGTTCTTAAAGCAATTGGTGTGACGAGCAACCTGCTTGAAGAAGCTATGTTTAGCCTCAAATCTCATTGTCCACAGTACAATTAGAGGCCCGAAGCAACGAATCATTTGCGGATAGTGCTCTAAAAAGTGATGTTTTGGTAAGAGCTTTACATGTGGAAAGAGTTCAAGATAGCGCTGCCTATGATCATAGATCTTGGCTTCAAGATAAGCAATGGTCTCATCTGTGTGAACAGGGGCCACAACCAACTCAACTATGTCCTTAAGATCTAGAATTAGCTGCCACGCTGGTTCATCTTCTGGTAAAATGTGCCCAATCACAAAGGGAAGCAGTCTTATTAAGGTCCAGTTTTCATGCGCATTGCCACCTATTGTGTTTCTAGATGTGAAAGAGCGTGGTATGGCATGGGGGCGATTGGTTCTGTCCCCCCATTTGTACGGAAATGTCTGAATCAATGTGTTGAGCCTTTCAAAAGTGAAGTATTTTTTGGAGATCAACAAACTCATACAACGAGCCAGTTCAACTGGTACAACACCTTCAAAAAGGTCGTGCACAATGTCAGGAGGATAACCAGTAGTTACATGAAAATGGGAAAGGTGCTCTGTTAAAACACACTGCTTTTTTACACCACAGCAAATAGTTGCATTCTCCTGAGCAGACTGGACATGAACATCATGGATGTCTCTTGTTCTCAGTTGGAAAGCACCTGACTGGACATCCTTAGTCTGAAAATCTGATTTGACTCCAATACAAAACCTGCATACTGACCCAGCTGAAAAACTCTCAACAAATCCCCCGAGCCCATGGGCTCCAAGATTGTCAGCTATAACACACTGGACAGAACCTTTAACAAACTGACCAAGCTGAGATATAAATACACCGTGCTGTTCTAATATGCTTAAGTCTTGCAAGAGAGGCTCCAACACTTTTCCATAGCCATAGGTCTTAACATCATCAGATTTGCATAGAACAGCTAAATAGATTGAGTTTAGTGTTGAATGGGAACCTGGTGGCAAATTACCCAAAACCCAATATACACCACAAAGTTTGTGTGTCTTTCGAGATGTCCCAAGAGGGTTACAAATCTCAAAATCATCAACATAAAGATTTACAGAGATTCTCAAACCTTCATCAGAAAAAAACGAATTCTGTTTATAGTACTCACCGTCTCTTACAGTTCTGTACTCTTGGGGAACAGCCAATAGCCGCTGTTGCGTTTCAATATGTTCAAGGACACCTTTATGAGAGAGCAAATGTTGCAAAGACTTTAACAGAGGGATATATTGAAATGTCCTATTCCTCTGGGCATCTAGTATGTACTCAACCGGCTCTAAAACACCAAAATGAGATGTATAGTACTGTGTACGTTTATATGCTGTAGCAAGAGGGCCATCCTTTGCAATAGCTGTGGCCAATGGACTAGAATTGCATAGAGCAGTGGAAAGCTCACCAACTACTGAATCTTCAACCTGTAGTTTATGGCTCTGTAATACATCAGAAACAATAGCTCTAGTGACAGGCAAAGATGATGTACTTAATATGTAGTGAAGTTCAGAAAGGACTTCATCAATAACTGTCTTTGGAATGTGAACAATATTTTCCAACTTCAATAAAATGCATGCAATTTTTTCTTCGATTAAATTTGGAAGGTGTATTTCTGAAGCATCACCACAACTTAGTGTTTCATATTCCTGGTCTATATCGACAGACTCCGTTGGACCAACTGCAGAACTGTGTGACTGATCCAACTCACCACTTGTACTGACAACATTGGCTATAAAGTCTTTAAGTGAATGTTGTCTGTGTTTCCTATTTTTGTGTGTGTTGAATGTACTGTAAATGTTAGTTTTAAATGTGCATCCTAGAAACATACATGGTACAGTTTCATTATGCCTGAGATGTCCATTAATATGTTGGAAGAAATCTTTTTCTGTTAAGTCTCTACGTGAGCACACATGACACTTAAATGTAGGTAATTCTACTGGCTTTGGTGTTAGCTGTTTAGCATGAGTTTTGTATGTGTGATTTAAAAGTTTACTCCATGTGTCAAACGAACATGGGCAATCAGTATATGGACATGGATAGCGACAACTGCCCCTTAAATGTGCATGTGTCTGCCGGAAATGTTTTAACAACAAATACCTGCTAGCTAGTTCCAAACTGCAGTGTTTGCACTGCCACATGCATAACCTGAAAAAGAGAAAAAAGAGAATTAGCAATTGACACTGAACAACTGACAATGTCACAGATCAGCTTATGCAAGTAATGTGAAAGTAGCCGTGTACTTACCATAAATAAGAGGTTGCCCCAAGATGCTTGTTAATGCTGATCAAACTGCAAAAGACAACATAAATATATTAGAGGTGTGATTAAAATGCTTATATATTTGAATTTTCACAGACAACACATAATTGCCTAAGATTGCACAACCCAAAAAAAAAATGATAACAGATCACACTTTAAAATTAAGAGTCTAGTAGACATGTTTTATAAAGAAGGCCTACGTTTCTGCACAACTCTGGGTGCCTGCTTGTGAGTGAGGTAACCCATACAAGATTCACATATATATATTATCTCATTATTTATATTAAATATTTGGCAGTAAAAAACTAAACTCAACTGAACTCCTACAGAAACGAGTGGCTCCGCCTGTCCTCCTCTGCCTGCCTGCACTAAGGCCAGGAGAGAGATGGACAGACCTGCTGAGCTTTATGATAGAAAATGGCGGCGCTTACTGGGCTGCATGCAGGCTCTGCCTCCTATACTGTTACCTCATTCACTTGAATTACTCTTTGCATTTTTTGGTTGAATTTAAACTGAATTTCGGTGTACTGTGTTCAATGACAATAACGTGACATCTAATTTAATATAATCTAATGATCTCTACTATCCAGTATTCAATGCTAACCATATCTAGCAAGCTAGCTAGCTTGCTGTTTAGACCAAACTAAAAACGGAGCAAAATATAACACGGTGGTTTCAAATATTCTTGTCGATATAATGAAAAGGCATTAGGCCTACTTGGAAACAGGGAACATTCTAAACTACTAGAAAAAACAAATACTTACCAAATAATAGACTTTCCACCGTCAGTTTCCCCAGTCAATTTCCACAGTCAGTTTCCACAGTCAGTGTTAGACAAAAGGCGGCAAATGACAGAACGGATTTTGTGCATGCGCAAAGGTGATGTGCAAAGGGGCGGTCCCAAATGAAAACAATTCATTTTGAGTTGCTCTGTCTTAAATACATTTAATAAGTGAATTGATTAATGTAATTTGTGTTACACTAATGAACTATACTTAGGTTTATTTCTTAAATAAAAATATTTAAGTAAAGTGAAACAATTATTAATGTGTCAAGTCTAAGAAGGGCTTGAATCGTTTTTTTGAGTGTTCTTTACCTGGCTGTTTCTTGTCCCGTGATTACCCCTCTCTGTAGTTAGTCTTGTCTTTCCCTGTGTTCCCCTGTCGGTTCATTGTTTGTCTTCCCTTCACGCTCCATGTTTGTTCTTGACGTTTTTGATCCTGGATTCTGTACTCGTCCTCCCCTGTTTTGGTAATGTTAAGTTTTGTTTCTTGTTTTCTTTTGTCATCTGCTTTTTTGTAAAATAAATTTCGCTTATCGTTAATACTGCATTTGGGTCCTACCTTTTCCACACACCCTGACAGAGTGTTATCTGAGTAGGTGTGCGTGGAGGGTATTTTGAGGGGAATTTGCTCACCGGCGCCCTCCTCATAGCCGGTGAGCTTGTCCTTTTCCCGGACCTGCGGCATGCTGGTGACCCGGACGTCCACAGTAGAAACAGCTTCCCTCCTGTAGTCGGTGCTGTCTTTCCTCTGGGGAAATCCTGGTTCTTCCCAGCTGCATGGGTTCCTCCCGTGCCTGTGGAGGCGCTATTCCTGGCGTTGCAGAAACCGGCGGAATCCATGAGGAAGAATGTCCAGGAAAACGCCCCTGGTGGCTCGGAGGTCTAGGTGTGGCTCGACGTCTCTCTCTCTCCCTCTCTCTGAGGCGATTATCCACTCGAGTAGCCATGGAAATTGAGGCAATTCCAACGGAGCCAGGCAATCCTTTATGGGATCTGACAGTCCGTTCATAAACGCATCTATCAATGCGTCGGTGTTCCAGCCACTGTCCGAGGCTGCGGTCCGGAATTTTATGGCGTAATCTATGACAGGGTAGGAGTGCTGTCCGGGTGGCCTCCCTGGAGGTTGAAGTCTGATCAAACACCCGGCTCATTGTGTCATGAAAAGCGGAATACGACCTGCATATGGGAGAGTCTCGAGCCCCTTCAGCTGTGGCCCATGCTGCGGCTCTGCCGGTGAGGTGGGAGACCAGGAAGGTGATCTTGGCCTCCTCGGAAACAAACGCCACTGGATTGTGTTTGAAATGAAGATCACACTGCACCAGGAACGTTCTGCAGTTTCCAGACTCCCCGGAACACCTCTCTGGTGATGCCAACCGAACTGGAACAAATGCTGAGCGAACCTTGGCCTGGCCGCCTGCAGGATCGATGGGAGGTGGCGCCGTCGGCACATCTGGAGTCTCTAGACGGGTGAGGATTTGTTGAAGCTGTGTCGCCAGCTGATTGACCTGTGTGGTTCCGGAGAGACAGGACTATTTAAACATGAGGTGAGTGAGAACAGGTGGAAACAATCAGGGGCGGGGCAGACACTGATGAAGGTGGGAAAAACACACAAGGGGAGGAAGAAACAGGGCCTGAAATGAAAGACATGAAGTAAATTCAAAATAAAACAGGAAATGACAGACAGAATAAATAAACATAACTAACACATTTGACGAGACACAACACCTATCTGATTTACCGCATGACAAATCAAGCCTAAAGTTATAATGAAAGAAACATTCTTTACTATGGATAATCTAACTTTCCATTACGACTGCAGGGTCCCACAAAAATCTACACCCGATACACATCTCCACAATCAGTCATTCAGAGCTTTTGTTCTTCAAGGTAGGCCAATTCTCCAAAACTGAGAACACACCGTAACATGTATTTAATGTTTAACCTGTTAAGCCCCAAGGTCCCCGTCGGCGGGTACTTTTTAGTTTTTTTTCACGACAGTGTCTCAGGGGATCTTAATATTTAAGAACCTATTAATGTGTTATACCAGATTAACGGGAATAATATCAGCTAACTGACGATACAAACCATTTTTACCAAAACAAAACACAAGTCTCATAAGAAGCATCTAAATTACTCCTGAGCGAAAAATGCTAACGCACTTTGGCACAGAACTCAAGATAAAAGATACCCTTATTACTTATCGTAGCTGCACATACAATATATCCGATTAAAGCTGAGGTTCCACAGATTATTTAGGTATATAGTATCATCACTTAGTCATCCGAACTCTTGACAGGGGAAGCAAACACAGACATCACAACACGTACCTTTACGGAGCTTTTACGGGAGATCGTCTCACCGTAGCTGTCAATCTGATCAAAAGACTTGTTCAATGGCATTAAAACGAGAAAAAACGCGGCTGAATCGGTTGATCCATAGGTTGATAATGTTTCTGGGTAATAGTTTTTTTTATTTATAATCCATAATTCAATTTTTATGTAAAAATCGGAGAGTAAAAGTTAGCTGCTAATGGTAGCCACCAGAGTTATCGCAGCTTCCGGTCTTGGCTATGCGGCAGACTCACACACACACACATTACCAAATAAGGAGTATGTGGGAGTTCCCCTCGATTCCATTGGCTCTCCCAGCTAGCGGGGAACGTTCTCACAACTTTGGCCTATTGGTTCTAATAAGGTTTTAAAGAAACTTTTGTATCTGATGTTCAAAGAACCTTTTTAGGATGTTTATTTTTTCAAATAATGTTCCTATAAGGTTTAAGGTTAACTAAGACATAACGTTTTAACTGCAACATTCAGAGGATGTTTTGAGGATGTTATTGAGGCCTGAGATGACAAAGTGTTTTATAAAATGTTCCTTTAATGTGATATGTTAACAAAGGTGGAACGTTTTGCCTCCAACATTCTAAGGATGTGTTTTGGACGTTTTGGGTAACACATTAAAGATGTTCTTTATAAAACGGTCCCTCAATGTTACATGAAAACCAAAGAAGAACATTTTGAAAGCAACATTTGGATAATGTTTTCAGGAGGTTATTATTTTTTTAGAAAATGTTCCTGTTTTGCGAAATATGAACAGGGTCATGGTCAACGTCAGATTTATTTGTAGTGCGCTTTAAAAAACAAACATGCTGCATTTGTTTGAAAAGGATGTTTAAAAGAAATCTGATGTCACCACATTTTCGTTTTTAGAAAAAAACAAGCACGTAATTCATGATATTGCACATTTGCGTAGGCATGTCTGAGTTCCCAGCTAGACATTGTTGGTTCTAAAAACATTCTGAGAATGTTACCATTCATTGTTCTTGGAATGGTTTCATCGAGAAGTTTTATTTTGGTTCCTGGAATGTACTTCTGAAAGGTAGGATAACGTTCTCTAAAAACATTCTTAAAATGTTTGGTGATAACATTGTTCGAACATTATACCCCAAGTGTTTTTGTTGTTTTTGCACATATCTCTATGGTCATATGGATCGAATAACACTTAGAAAACCAAAGACAGACATATAGAAGAATGGACCGACTATCACTGCCCGTCCCTGAAACCTCTGTTAGTGGGTTAGTGCCCCCCCCCCACCTGCCTGCTGGTCTGCTCTACACGGCTGGGAGCAATCTCCAATCGACCACACCTGCAACCTGCTCATCAGCCACACTATGAAAACCTGCAGCCTGCACTCATTCCCTGCCGGATTGTTGCCGTGAACGGTTTGTTGCGTGCCACTCTACCTTTTTACCAGCATATTCTTTGACAACTTTGCCTGCTTTTGCCTCACACTCATTTTTGTGTCTCTCCCAGGAGGAATCAAGGGCCTTCCACACTCCCAAGACCAGCCAGGCCTCTCTACCCACCCTGGAACAACTGTTTCCCACTGCTGCCATAACCAACCTCCACTCCCAGCTCCCCTTTTCTAATGTTACTTTCACCAGCTGATTCCGAGTCATCCTTTTACATGTGTTAATAGTCAAATTCCAATAGTTAAGTAAACTATCATAATCATCCTAATGACCACAGTGGTCAGTGCACTTACCCA